TTCCTCGAGACTCGTGGTCGTCCTAGACTTTTTCCCTTACACAGACACCCACTCTCTTGAAACTGTCGAAACCACCGTCGAATGTTCGTAGGACAGGGCGGATTAATGCCGAATCGCCTTCGAAAAGCACGCTGCACCGTGACAACTGAATTTGTTTTCGCGAACTCGAGAACGCAGAACGCCTTTTGCTGAAGACTCGCCATTCCGAGGGTAAACGAACTGAACGTTGCTGGAAGAACGACGCGACTTTAGGGCCCTTGTGGCAGCCATTCACGCGCGAATGCATTCAACCCTTTATATAGGCGGGTTTCGGACTCAGTAGAGAACACTGTTCTCAGCAGTTCGGTTTCATCCGCTGTTACGCAATGAACCTTCTATTGTCTTTTATCTCCGGGGAAACGGTTTGTTGTTTGCGCTGTTCCTACGCAACGGCCCACTGTTATTGCGTTGCTACGCAACCAACACTCTTTGTTAGGATGTTCCTACGCACGGTCTCAACAATTTCCATTGTTTTCGTTGCCCAGAGATGGACGACATATAACACGTTACAATATATAGAGACTTGGTCTGGACGATATGAAGAAGTGGAAAATCTTGACCCTACCAGGACTAGAAATCCGACCCCTCGGTCGTCCAGCCCGTAGCCAGTCGCTGTACTGACTACGCTGTCACCAAGAAGTTTTGCCATGAAATTTCTGTTTCTCTTATTCCAATTCCCGTTCATCATCATCATCATCATCCAACCGTTCTATGAATTAGTCGTAATCCTGTAACTTTAGCTGCTCAGCCCTCGTTAATTAAAACAAGAAAAAATATGACACCGTGTGGTCTGGTAGGCGAGAACCAGCATTTCAAGGTATACAGTGCCTCCGAATTCAGGTACTGAATATGAGGCCAGCATGTTCCTCCAAAACAGAAAACAAATTCCGTGGCTTGAGTCCGCAAACGAACTATACCGACCGAGCGACAGCCGCTTGTCGGTGAAGTTAGTGCCAACTTAGCGGATAGAGGACATGTTTCTCCGGATAACTAATATTCTACCCGCCCGCCACAGTAAAGGTGCCGTACGTTTTTTAACTTTCTGATACCCGAAATATATATGAGATAATAAAGCGATCGTGGATAAAAATGTATCTCGAGATATTAACAGATTTGCACCCTTTGAGTCCTCCCAACCCCCAGAATACTAAAATTGTTTTGATGAATTAATGGAGGGATTCATACACTGATGGATGAATGTATGAACCGTAGGCCATTAACGATACCGCATCAAATACAGCTGTTATTTGGCCTCTAGTAATTCGGGAACACAATTGCGTCAAATTCAGTTGAAAGGCGAAGGCGTCATGCCCAATATCAAGGCACTAACCCGGCTTGCGCCTAGTGGGACTAAGGGAAGTGTGGATCCTCGATAATTCGGCCGAGGGTCGAACCGGGTAACTCCCAAATACAAGTCCGAAGGTTACTGTTTGAGCTTACTTGCTCGGCCACAAGATGGAAGTGCCCAGCTCCGAAACCTGCCCGCTTTCTTCCCCGGGAGAAGGACCTCTGAGTCCCATTAAACAGGAAACTGTGGGCCCAAAACCTGGTCTGATCGTAGTGGCGGAGAGAACAATTACAGCCCTTGCAGGGAATCGAGCCCATATCGTCCACCCAAGCTTTAGTAAATGGAAAAGAGGAATTTTATACCTGTCTCAACCTTAAAGCCACGTTAACAACATTAGCATATATCTGAACAGACGTGCTACATACTTTAATAAAAGCTCTGGGAAGTACTTGCCGTTGTAACGTTTTTACCTAGTCGTTGCCTAGCAGCGTTAGAAGGATACACATGAAGACACACATACTGATGGGGAAGGATTTATGAAGTGCGCCGTTGAGATGGGCTCAGGTGCCCTGATGTGCATACCAAGTTTCATAAAGACTGGCTCACGCATTCAGAAATTAATGGGACTACACACGGGCACACAGACAGACATGGTGATACAATAAGTACTATCATTTTTTTTTCAGAATAAGGCGCGTAAGCAAAAGAAGGAACAGTGCGTATATTTTTACAATGATTTACTGAAAAATGCTTGGAATACCTGTACTTAGAACGAAGGATCTTACAAAATAAGATCTCGAAGAATTAAGATGTGAAGATGTCGTCTAGATTCAGCTGTTTCTGGGTCTGTCCAGTGATGGCTTTCCTGCTGCTGATGAGAATCCTTCGATCAGCTGGAAGTTGTCAGCTCAAGGAAGTGATGGAGAGTGTGTGTGGCTGAATTGGAATGCAGAGCAGTGCTGGGATTTCCTTGTGTTGAAACTCTGCGCCCTCTAACTTGAGTAACATAACTACTGAAGGAAGTACCCGTGCCACAGAGCTGACCTGCGGCACTACTTCTAAGAAAAGCGATTGCACGAAGACGTAGAGATGTAGAATATAAAACCTGTTATACGGGTATACGCCCCAGGCTTTGTAAGCTAGTGCGAGGTGCAGTGGTTATCCACATCTCCGTAGGTGCGGGTTGGTAAGTAGTGCTTTCTGTTTGCTTCAGACGAAGCATGCGGTGTTTTATTTCTCTCATTTGAGTAACCCCTCGTTCGCGTCCCAACACTCTAATTTAACCGAAATATTAACACTCATTAAGTAAAATCAATTTAATTTCCTGTTCTAATCTCTTCCAGGTGTGATCTTTGACTCTGCTATCCCTGTAACAGGCCTTGAAGGCCCAAAGGGTTGTGAGACATCGATGCTCCCACTTTTTCTCTAGACAGTCGGTTCACAGATGGCAGTAAGCTTCTTAGCTTTACGCGCCGTCCGAACTTTACCCCCCAGGAAGATTCCTGGTACTCATTTCTGTTAGAGGCTGAGTCGACCCCAGGGCCATAGTGCGACTGGAAGGATTAGGTCAATTGAAAAGTCAACGTCCCCGGGTCTTGATCCTACGACCTTCCGGCTTGTACGTGTAGCAAAATGCCTCAACCAACTACATAACCGCGTGCACATTCTCTGTTACCAACGTCATACGAATGTTCGACACTAGCGAGGATTAAAGTTCATGAACTGATTTTAAAGCTGTGAGAATCGTTAATCTAGCTTTGTTTTTCTTCTGATGGACGGAATTCTTTAACACGTCCACAGTTCTTGAGGGTCCGTGATATATTTTGACATTTTGCGATACTGTTTTTCACAGAATAGGCTGGTCTAGAAGTAACTCTCTATATTCGGGAGGGGAGTGGTTCATATCTTGTCCACGACACGAGGTATCATGACTGAAGTTTCTCATGATTTTAATCGCTCCCTCTACTGAAATGCTGGGACAGTGCCTCGATTAGGCAACGACAATTTCCATCCAAATCTTTTCCATTTCGTCAGTCATCCTATTAACCTACGCTATATAGTCGATACTGAGAGCGTCGTTAAATAACCCACAAAATAAGGATTATCTCCTCTAAAAGAATGTCCTTTGTCAAGCACAATTTTTCTGTTGTAACTAAACTCCGGGCCTAAGCTCGCGAGAAACGTTTCTTCACACTTCTGTGTTCGAGGAAGCTGACTAACATGACGTCCCCTTGACGTGGACACCCCAAGGGTTTCTCCTGTTAATGTAGCAGCTATGGTTCTGCTTTCCAGCATAGCACTGATCCACCTGCATATTGCAGGCTCTGTGCCATGCCTTCCAGCAGCTTGTTTGATTACATCAAATGAGGTTCTATCAAAAGCTCACTCTATGTCAAGGAATGCTCCTAAGGCAATATCCTTGTGTTCAGTTGCACTTTCTATGCGTGTTACTACATTGTGTAGTGCACTTTCAGTAGATTTACCTGTTTGGTAGGCATGTTGGTTTCGGTGTAGAGGATATGTCCTCAATACCCCGTCTCTGATATGCCTATCCACTACTTTCTCCATCGTTTTCAAAAGGAAAGATGATAGGCTGATAGGACGATATGCCTTAGCCTCGGTATAATCAAGTTTCCCGGGCTTTGGAATAAACGTCACTTTAACCTGCCTCCACGCTATGGGGATAAAACCATATGCCAAGCAGGCTCTATATATGCGACATAGGTGTGGAACTAAAAGTTCTGCCCCATGTTGCAAAAGTGCCGGTACAATTCCCGCTGATTTAAATGGTCAAAAAGTGTTCAGTGCCCATCTTATTTTTGATTGATTAATTATGACTTTGGCCAGGTTCCAGTCTACCCTGTTCATTTTGCTTTGGCAAGTGTCCAGGTTCTGCTGACCATGTCCATCGTCCAATTTGTCAATCAATTTTGAACCAGGAAAGTGAACTCTGAATAATTCATTCAGTGTCTCCCTTCCTGTTTGAGTATACTGCCCGTTTGGCAGCTTAATCGTGCTGATCTTATTGGTCACCTGTTTTGCCATGATTCTCATGAGTCTGGCACTGCCTGGTACATCATTGATCTCCTGGCAGTACCTCCTCCATGAGGATTGCTTGGCTTTCCTTATTTCTTTCTTGTAACAGGTCAGGGCTTCCTTATAGGTGTCCCACTGCCCTGTTCTTTTAACTGTATTAAACAGCTTTCTTGTTTTGGTTCTAAGCCCACTCAGCTGTTTACTCCACCAAGGCGTTCTCCTTGGTCTGCGAGTGGTCTTAGCCGGACAATTCTGATTAAAGGACGAGATAATAGCCCGTTACACCTGGTCAACGGATTGATCAACATCCTTTATTGTGCATATATTACACGAGATGGCCTCTAGATTTACCTTTGGGTCATCTTTGTAAGACTCGCAATTGGTTCTCTTAGGATTCCTATAAGTAGTTTGATCTACTGTGATGTTACTTATTTTAAAGCATATATATCTGTGATCCGATAGAGACGGCTCATCAGATATATGCCAGTTACTTACCAGGTTTCCTATATTATTTGTCCCTAGTGTCAAACCCCCTCAGAGTAAGTCATGTTCCTTTAAGGGGTCATGACCCCAAATTTGTGAAACTATACAGAAAAATGTTAAGTGGACAGCTCTGGGAATATTGTGCATGTTTCAGAACAAGATTCCAGTTACAGTACAATGACAGTTTATGTGTGGGGACTTGCTGGCATTGTGGTGTTCTACATTGCGATGCTGGGCATTGGTATTTGGGCCGGGACGAAGCAGAAAAACCAAAGTGAGGAGGAGATCATGCTGGCTGGCAGAAATATCGGCACTATTGTAGGAGTCCTCACGCTTATAGGTTTGTGGCTATGTCTGTTATCTGTGTCCCTAGGGTACATTATATTTTTATAAGTTAATGAAACATGAATGAAAGTATGGATTATACGAGGGCTTTTCGGAGAGTAACCTGTGTTTATTTTAGACAACTGCCATTGGAGCGGGGGAGAGCTCGCGCCTGAAAGGTAGCGTCACGTGACTCATTCCCTTGTAAACCATCATATAACTGGTCACCTAGTGTTTGTGCTTGTCTCTACAGAGTAAGTTATGATGTGTCCTGCTATTGAGAATCCCGCCAGCTGCGAAATTCACCATATTATCTGCATTCTTCACGCTGAAAACACGAAAAAAAAAGGTAAAGCTATCCATGTAACAGGCCGTGGAGGCCCATAGGGTTGTGAGATGTCAAGGTCCCACATTTTCCGGACAGTGGTCTCACAGATGGCGGTGAGGTTGTCAGCCTCACTCTCCTGCAGCCCTTCACCCCTAGGAAGATTCCTGGGGCCATAGTGTGGCTGGAGGAACACGTCAATTGATGAATCCAACCTCATTAGGAACCCCCAACCATCTGGCTTGTAGTATAGTGTCTCAACCAACCGTGTTACCCCATGCCCCTAAAAACATGAGTGTTGCGGAAATCCATCGTGAATTATGCGCGGTTTACGGCCAAAATATAAGGAGTGAAGGAACTATAAGACAGTGGCATAGAATGTTCAAAGATGGGCCAACAAATGTTCATGATGAAGAGTGAAATAGTTGGCTGGCCATCTGTACTGAGTGATGATCTTGTTCAAAGTGTTGACCAAAATGTTGTGAAAATGCGCTTCAAAATTTCAGAACTTTCACGTGAATTTCCACAAATTTCACGCACTCTCCTCTGCAAGATTATCATAGTTAGGCTAGGATATCACAAGTTTTGCGTAAGGTGGGTTCCGAAAATATTCGCAGGCGTGCCCCAAACGCAGAGGACTTTGAATTTTATAGAGCACTGCCACAGAGATGGCCATGAATTTCTCCATCACATTGTATGAGTAACAGATGATGAAACCTGGGTTTCATTTGTGATTGTTAAACCAAAAGTATTCAAAGCAATGGATGGACACACAATCACCGAACAAGCAGAAACCATTTAAACAAACATGGTCTGAAAGAAAGCTGATGACATTTGTTTATCTGTTTTCTGGGACAGCAAAGGATTGGTGATGGTGGAATTCGTGCAACAAGGAACAACAGTAATGTCAGAAGTGTATTTTGAAACACTAAAAAAACTGGATAGGGCCATTCAGAACAAAAGGCTTGGAATGCTGACATCCTGTGTAGTGCTCGTACAAGACAATGTGTACCTGCATAAAGCTGCTCGTGATTGAGCACTCCAGGAGCAATTCAACTTGATGTTGCTTGACCAGACCCCTTACAGACCCAATTTCACTCTGAGCAACTACAAACTTTTACCTACCTGAAGAACTGGTTGGGATCCCAGGGCTTCAACAATAGTGAGGAGTTTATGGAAGGTGTCAAAACATGGCTAAGCTCACAGACAGCAGACTTCTTTGACATAGGCACAAAGAATTGTTCCCCAATATAAGTGCCTCAATTCCAGCTGTGAATACGTTGACAAGTAACTTAATTACGAGTATATGTGTACTTTTTTGTATATAGAATTTTTTTCTCGTTGCTTGTTTTGTTAACAGCAGTATAGGCTGTCCAATCATGAATTTTACATAAAATTCCTAAAATATAAATTGATTGTCAGTTGTATCAGCTTGCCATAACACCTGCCACAGATTACAGACTGAAGTTAGCATGTCAGTCACAGTCAATATAACCATTTTTGTTTCAGCAACATGGGTTGGAGGAGCTTACATCAATGGCACCGCTGAGGTGATGTTCACAGCAGGACTAGCGTGGTGCCAAGTTCCAATAGGATACAGCATCAGTATTATTTTAGGCAAGTTCCTTCACGCAATTACTGAGATTTTGGACATTATCCATCATCCTGCAATTTGTTTAAAACAGCATTTCAGAGACTGGACTCTATTTCTGTCTGGAGATAGGGACTAGATCTATCGATTCAGCCAAATTGAGTAGGCTTTTCCATTAGGATGGAGATAGAGTCCAGTCTCCAAAACGTGTTTTAAATGAAAAGCAGGATGATAAAATGTCAGAAAAGTCAGTAATTGTATCAATATACTATCATCACAAACTTTTGGATCTTATTTTAAGTTCCTCCATGTTCTAAAGAACTCTAGAGCCCACTGAACCTTCTACCGTGTATAGAATATGATGCAAAATGTCAGAATAAAAAACAGCCATGCTTCACATTGTAGAATGTTCGGGTTTGATTCTTGGCCTGGAGACCAGCTGCTTTGTGTGCCACCCGTGGTGTTTTTCTTCCTGCATTCCTGTTTCTTGATGTGAACGTGGATTGTAAGGAACGTTACAAAGTCAAAGCTAGGTAGTAAATCAAGGATGGAAGCTTTTCTGAACAGTATTTTTTTTATTGCTAGTGGGGTGGGACTAAGTCCCTTGTACTGCGGCCACTTCTGGCCTATTGTACCAGCCCCAGATGATAGGTGAGGATGATTCTGGAGGAATTGATGGAATGAAGATTGGCAGGGGAAACCGAAGTACTCGGAGAAAACCTGCCTCAGCGCCACTTTATCCACCACAAATCCCACTTGACCAGACTCGGGATCGAACCCGGGCCGCCGCTATGGGAAGCCAGCGACTAACTGCTTGAGGTATGGCACGGTCTTCTGAACAGTAACAACAAATCAAAATACAAATAAATAAAAAATGACTGGTTTCACAAATAAGAATAGTTGAACTAAGAACTGGGAGCCTTGGTGATTTTAAGAGCACCAGTAGAGGATAAGGAAAAAAGAACCTACTAAATATTGGGGAAACTGTATTGTTTCGCTCTGAATAGGTGGGCTTTACATTAAAACGGTAATGAACCCTTGCGTTCCATAAAACACAAGAAATTTTTTTTACAAACTAACCAGATGTTAGCTGCTCAAGAATGAATCTGCTCCATGAAGCTCTGTATCAACTCCACAGGTTGTGTAGCATCAAATGCTGGATGAACGTGAATTATGAATTAATTAAGGTTATGGAAAGAAGTGGTTATGGTCTACTTTAAGGTAGCTTCTATTCCAACATCTGCATGGACATCATTGTCACCCAAGGAACATGAAATGCAATGCTTAATATTGCAGCCATGCTTCTGTTTGTCCGTAAGATGCGTGATGCCCGCTATGTCACCATGTTGGATCCTCTGCAGCAGAAGTATGGGAATCGCATTGGTGGCCTCATGTACATGCCAGCACTCTGCGGTGATGTCTTCTGGATTGGCTCAATCCTCAATGCCCTAGGTGAGGCCTATCCATCAAGGCTTCAGAGAGTGTGGGAACTAACTCCGTGGAGCTGAGTCCTTGAGGAGCTGCAAGTCCCTCAGCTACTAAAGAATATCCTAAACTTTTATGTAACCTGAAGGTTCATTTTTGTGTTCACAAGAGCTTGGACACTTGTCCCCATCCTGAGACATGCTAATCCAGTCCATAACACCCTATCCTGTATCTCTAAACTCTTATCTTATTATTATTCTCCCACTTATGTCTAGGTCTTCTTAGTTGCTTCTTTCCCTCTGGCTTTCCCACCAAAACCTCGTATGCGTTCGTCTTTTCCCACATGTATGCTAAATGTCCTACCCATGTAATCATCCTTGACTTAATCACTCTGTTTATATTTGGCTAACAGTGGAAGTTACAAAGATCTTCATCGTGCAGTTTTGTCCAACCTCCTATTATTTTGTCCCTCTTCGGTCCTGCAGCCTGTCCTCAAATACTTCCTATGTTTTTCCCTTAATATCAGAGTCAAAGTTTCATACCTATACAAATTTACATGCAAAGGTAGAGTTTTGTATGTTTTTGAACAGCAGACAAGAAGACACAAGGTTCTAAACTAAATGGAGCACGCATTACACAAATTCAATCTGCTCTTAATTACATCACAAGAATTTACAGAGCACAACTGCATGCTTTGTTTTTTGAGGCTTGCAAGTAAATATGGAAGAGAAGGCATTAAAACGTGCTAGATATTCAATATCAGAGTACAGGGGCCAGGTCTATACTGTAGAGTAGCTTATGAACACAGGTGCTGACAGTATTTTGTTTCATGGCAGCATGCTTAATCTTCATACTGACTGAATTCGACTCTCATGCATCACAGACTTCTGTGGCATGATCTGTGTCAGAATGCAATGGCCATAATTATTCTAACATAGTTTGTCTTTCCATCTATCAGTACTTCCATACAAGTGTAGTAAGCCAAGCTTCTCATTTAAAATGCTGATAGAATGCCAGTTTTCCCTGCAATAAGGAAGAAATCCAGATGTTTCTGTTCAAATCTTGTATTGTAATATATATGTTACAGGCTCATCACTGGTGGTGATTCTTGGTATTGACAACAAAATATCTGTGATAGCAAGCGCAGTGTTTGCAGCTGCTTATACGATAGTTGGAGGCTTCTATAGTGTCTCTTACACAGATGTCTTTCAGCTCTGTCTAATAGTCATAGGGCTTGTAAGTGTCAGACATATCTCATTATTGAGCTTCAATATGAAATGGAGATCGTAAACATCCTTGAAATTAACTTGTTCTGACATCTGTTTTCTTATGGTTCATATTGTTTTAGCTTCTATCAGTTCCTTTTGCGTACCACAATGAAGCTGTTTCAAGAAGTGCATTGTCTTCCAGTGATTGGATTGGACAAGTGGATAGAGCAGATGTTGGAGAATGGATTGACACTTTGCTGTTGCTCATGTTGGGGGGAATTCCATGGCAGGTATTCAGTTTTTAAGTCACAGTATGAAATTATTTTAATTGAATTCCATTGTATATGTACATTTTAGATCCTTAGGAAAGTGAAATGTTGCAGTTTGTATATTGTCATTTGTTTGTGAGAGTAATGTTCATGGTGGAAAGATGTAATACAGTTGGAAGTAGACACAGCGTTTCAGACATGTTCTCAAGAACTTCCGCAAACTTCATTGGGGTATGATGTTCATTTATTGCAGATAAAATTTAATATTTATTTTCATTCATTTATGTTTTCTTTGCTGATGCACTCAGTAGCATGGACTATATAATGTGCCACTGCAAGAGGATTAATGGATAAAGACTCAGAAGGGTTGTGGAAGGAAACAGTCATGACCTGCTCTAGGGTACTATCTCAGCATTATCATAGATTGGCTGATGAAAACCATGAAACTCCAGTCAGGATGGCCATTCTCCAGCCTTACATTTGAACCTGGAACATGTTTCATGAAAACAAAATATTACAATTGAATAATAATTGAATAATAATAATAAATTGAATAATAACACTGAAAGTGGTGTTTCTAAATGGCAAAAGGTTAAACAGGGTGTCCCTCAGGGTTCTATCCTGGGGCCATTGCTCTTTTTAGTATATATTAATGATTTACCATATATAATAAATAAAGTGTCAAAGCCAGTTTTATTTGCGGATGATACCAGCATACTGTGTTGCAAGTCGAACTACAATGAACTTGTTATTACTTTAAAAGAAATTCTTGAATTAATTAATGTATGGTTTTCTATTAATTCGTTAACTTTGAATCTGACAAAAACAAATTGTGTCCAGTTTTCATCAAAACCTAATTTACCAATAGATATCAATATAAACCATGGGGATATCCAAATTAATAACACGAGTACACTGAAATTTCTTGGAATAACAATTGACAGTACTTTATCATGGAAAGAACACATCAAATATACAGCCAGCAAATTAAGCTCGGCTAGCTATGCCATCAGAATCCTAACTTCAGTTATGTCCCTAGAAAGCCTATTGATGACTTATTATGCCTATGCCCATTCTATCATGTCATATGGTATAATATTCTGGGGTAATTCAACTAATAGTGACCAAATTTTCATAATTCAAAAAAGAATAGTTAGAATAATAATGAGAGCGGGTAACAGGGACTCTTGTCGACCAATTTTCAAAGCATTAAACATTCTTCCATTCTATTCACAATATATTTTCTCAATATCTGTTTTTGTGGTTAAGAATATGGACAAGTTTGTAACAAATTCAGATATTCATGGCATGCACACTAGATGGGGTTTAGATTTACATTATCCAACCTGTAAACTGACTAAAGTGCAAAAGGGAGTGTTTTATAGTGGGATTAGGATATTTAACAACTTGCCATGTAGAATTAAAAGCTTGTCAGAGGACATTAAAAAATTCAAATATTCCCTAAAAAATTTTTGCAGGTGGGCTCTTTTTATTCCTTACATGAGTATTATGAATGGAAATCAAGGAATGATTGTGCTTCCTATAGATAAAGATTGCGCCTATTATTTGTCACATCTAGAATATATATTATCTGTCTGTGTTTGTTTATAATTGTTGTGAATGGCACCTAATTTTTGACGTTGTTTGTTTCGGTGTTGTGTCTGTGATTTGGTTTGATGTGTTACTTGTTTGTGTTCTACAACTGTTAATGTACTACAATTATATGTGGCCTTTTTAAATGTCTTGGATATTTAATTTTTAACAATTTATCATTTTAAATGTACTTTTTATTGACATGTTCTATATCTCAAGGCAGCACTGCCAATTGTAGATCTCTGGAACGAAATAAATATGTATGTATGTACAAAATTAACAGTACTGTTGACTGCTTGTATGAATATTATTTGATTCATTCTCTTCTTGTAGGGTTATTTTCAAAGAATATTTTCTATGAAGACAACAAAGGGTGCACAAATTTTATCAGTTGTGTCATTCTTTGGTTGCATAGCCATGGCTGTTCCTCCAGCTTTCATCGGAGTTATTGCAAAGAATACAGGTAAAAAGATTTCTTAATTCAATTCTCATGTTCAATGCAAGACAACATATCCACACAAAATCTACACAGGTATCTCTATTTAAGGTTTCTTTGAGGACCAGTGGATTCAGAATCTAAACTGAAGAAATCTTAAATGGAGGTAATTTAATATTCAGTTTACTGACTAGGGATCATTAAACTTGAATATTAAAATTAGGTAAACCACAATAAAAAAAAGCATTCACTATTTTGCTGACAAGCCCCCCCCACACACACACACACACACACACACACACAACCACCACAGAACCTCCTACTAGAAACACTGAGGTTGCTTTGGGATAAATGGAATTGCATAGAAGAACTGATAAGATTTGCCTCAGATTGTCATGCCTGTTCTCTCTTCTGAACACCATCATTTCATACATGATGCCATCTACTGATAGAAATGCTGTACTAATCAATTAATATCAAGCCAATTTAATTGGCTGAAGGTATACATACTAGGGTTAAATGGAAATTATGCTATATTTCAATACTATCCATTTTAACATTGTCCCCCCCCCCCCAATCATCGATATATTCTTTCCAAATGAATGCTTATCAACAGGTTTCAGCATGAAAACTCTTGTGTCTCTAATCTAAACTGATAAATTATAAGTAATTTTCTTTGTGCGCTACATTAATATTCCTTTGTTTCATGCTACAATAACATGATATGGACGGTGTCAGACATAGCCCATGTGTCACATACCAATGCAGTGCCTCAGAATAATGTTACCACAGTTGTAGCACAATAATGGCACATAACTACCATAGCAACAGAAATTAATAGTACAATATTATTGGCAAGCTATTGTGATTGGAGATTTTCAAAATATCCACAATTAGCCAAAGGGTGGAAGTGCAATATGGTATCACTATCCAAGACACTGCATGTTGTGTGATCTGAAGTTTTTGAGACATTTTCTGAAATTAAATTTCATGTACAGTAAAACTTGGTTATAGCAACATCGGTTTCTGCGACACCTTGTCTATTGCGTCAAATATTCAATGGCACGAACTAATTCCTCATAAAGCAACTGGTTTTATACCTTGCTTAGTACGACATGCACAAATGCATCAACCTCGTATGTAACATCATTTTCATTCCTGAATTTCTCTGATATCGTGGGAAAGTTCGATGTGTCTGCCCACCCTCACTTTCTCTACTTGCTGACGTGACTGTCCTGGAAGAATACGACCGCGGGCTGCAAGAGGAACGTGGGTTTTATGCGAAAACAAGGGTGTGGGGTGAGACTGCGTGAATAGTGCAAGAGGACGTGGCAGGTTGTTAACTGCATTCCTTTCCTAGAATCTCGTCTAACAGGACCTCACATTGTCTACTTACCCTATAGTGTTCCTGCCTAAACCCAGAGAAGTGCAGTAGCGAAAACATGGCAATGAAAAGGAAAGTTTTAAGCATTGAAGAGAAAGTTAAAGTGATTCGTGAAATATTTTGTGTATTGTCAGTGAAAAGCGCTGTAATATGTCTTTGAAATTACACATTTGGGCAATTCCACATTAATGTTACGTTAGTCTGTACTTAACTACGTATTTCACTAAAAAAATGCAACATTTTAACTCAGTTTTTGGTAGATTTTTACGTGACTAACATAAGGCTACTGTGGAAGTACCCATTTCGGTTATTACGACATTCGTTTATAACGACACTATTTTTATGTCCCTTTGATGACGTTATAACCAAGTTCTACTGTATATGTAAAATAGGCATCATACTGAACTCACGATGACCAAGAAATTTTCATTGAAACTTCTGGAACAGACTTATAGATCACATGTGACTGAAAGACATTAAGAATTTTGAGAAAATAAGAATGCAGATAAATAAATAGAATATCCCCATTATGGATGAAATTATCCAGTTCTTGCAAATAAAATGTAAGAAGTTACTGCTTACAGAGCTAAATGTTAGTGTTTGCATCCTGTTGTATATTACTGCAATTGTAATTGTTTTTATATACACCAACACAGTTAATTATTTTATAATATATAACCGGGTAACAGTTATTTAATATCATAGTTCCACAGTATGATTCAGTTATTCAGACCATACTCAGGTGTTCTCATTTAAAAATAAAATGTAAAATAAAAGAAGTGGTAATGCTATTAAAGTTTGGAATTTGATCCAACTGACATATTGCTGTCATTAGATCATCTTCAGGTGGTCATAGTTTAAAAATAAAATTGAAAACTTAAAATTTAAATTATAAAATTACAATTTTTTAAATGCTAGGTTTTATGTGTTTTATGACAACCAGAAGATGATCTAAGGGATTGAAACACATTGTCGTACTATAATAACAAATAACTACTGCGTTGTTGTAATTATAATTCACATATAAAACTAGTTTTACTCTGTTTCTAACATTACAGATTGGTCAAGCATTCAAGGTTTCCAGAGAAATGTTTCTGAATCAGAAGGTGAAATAATTCTTCCTCTTGTTCTGCGCTACCTAACTCCCAATGTAAGTATATAACTTTTGTCGTGATTTTAAATGACTATAGATGGGTTTTGGATTGGTAAACAGATTTATTGCATGCTTATACACACAACTCATAATTAGAAGTAGCTATAATGCTATTGCTAATTCACACACTCTGCAGTTCAGTAAAACATGTATTTAATCTTCTCTGCTGCATCTGTCTGCTGTAGCTTCACCAGTCGTTACCTGGTGACGGATCCCAACAGTGCCCTCTGCTTCCAGGCTTATGTTCTCACCGGCTGGCGACTGCCCCACAACTAACTAAACTCAGTCAGGGTCAGATTTAATTTGCAACTGGTGGCTTACCGCCAATCAGTTCATCCTGGCGCCAAGCCTCTTGAGGCTTATGACCAGAGATTTTTTTTTCAACTGCACCCTTGTGGTCATAGTCCTTATGTGACATTCTCTCTGGTGAGAAGATGGGTTTGTCTCTTTTGAATATGCTTGGCCTTTCATCAGGTGTATGTATTGCTCATATAGCATATCACTGAAAATTCTTCCTTATGCACTATGTACAAGTCCTCTGTCAGTAAAGATCATGCCTATATTATACTCGTATACCTTATGCACCTTATGCTACAATGGCAGCTTAGTCATTTGAACGGTCATTAGCATGACCACCTCCAAGTTTAAGCCCCTTATATTTTCTATGTCTGGCTTTGCCTTGTCCTATATCGCAAACATGTTAATTCTCACGATTTTGTATGACTTTTGCCTGGCGAAGCTGTCCTTCCACACTCCCATATGTTTACATGGTGGGGTGTTTAACTAATTTAGTCCAAGGATAACTTCACCCTTACCATCAGCTGCCATCATTGTCACAAGAAATGCTTATTTAGAAGAGCTTCTTGAAAGTTGTGTTTGTATTTTTTTCAGTACTGGTTGTTATTATTAGATTGTGGGTGGACAAGGCAAACCCCAAATAGTAGCCTAATATGTGAAAAATTCTGAACTCACTTCCAACTGTTGCCAGTAACCATAAATAAACAATACGAAAATGTGTCAGTATAGTGGAAATGAATCACATGACAACCAGATTACAACCAACTACACATTCATTTATACCGAATATGCATGAAAAATGGATAATGTGCAATGTAATTTTGGTCTTGATATGAAGTCAGAACTGTGTGAATACAGGGGACGTGGGCCTCATTGTAACATAAACTGTACCAAATTCAATCCAGAAAATCGTGTCATGAAAATAACCACCACTAAACTTACATTAAGTGTGCATGACAGTTAATCTTAAGGCTTAAAGTAAACAGCAGCAATATGCAATCTTAAAATAGAAAAATGAAATTGAAACTCTATCAATTGGCTATCAATATGAAGAATCGAATATCTCTGTTTCCAGTAGAACATGTGTAACAGTGTATTTTTTTTTTATCAGTAATCTGTCAGACGACAGGTCCACAGTCTCTCCCAAAACAGTTTCTCCCCTTAATGCGATCTAGAGATTTCTCCTTCAAATGAGAATATCCTCTTCTGTCCCCAAGGTCATCCAGCATCTTCTTGCGTCTTCTGGTTCGCATACATGGTGTCTCTGTGTTTGGAAAGAGACTATCCAGGAAAAGTGATAATGTGGTAGTTTTTCCATTTGCTTTCCACATCGCAGTACAACAGCCGTTCAAACCACTCTGGTCACGCCTGTTGCTATACGAACTTGAACCATCTCGAGCATCATTTGCTCTGTGCTTCAAGTCGCTACTGATGACGCTGCTTCCGGCATCAGTTTTTGGTTTTTGGTGTCCCTCTTCGTCTGATGCCTACCCTTTGACCTGTCCAGCAAAGGAGGC